TAAGCTTGGTACTGACGATCACCTGAAAAAAATAAGGGTGGGTCAGGCCCACATGTAAGTTCCATACTACTACAATCCATACATAAACCCGATATGCAGATACATCCTAGATAGCTCAACAATAGCTAAGGTAGTCCATATAGATATAGATACACACTATATGATGCCCACTAACCTATAGTCATCACACTTGAGTAGAAGGTAACATGCAATATGCACGTAGCGTAGTCATGCACCTAGACCTACCAGGGAACGTCATTAGGTCCAGTTCTCCATCCAATGCAATATACGCACCCTAACCGTGATCAGGAGACTTAAGCTCGTATCACAACACCATAAGTATATATTTAAATCCTTCCTAATACAGAAAAGTAAAGCAACCATCCGTTATGTCATTCAACTGTTTTAGTTGACAGGACATGCATCCATGTAGGAGTTAACTGTTTTAGTTAATCTATTCCATATGTATGAACAGGTAGGATTTAGCATTGTGGTCTAATCCGTCCCTGATATGTCACCGTCCCATACGGGTACATATAATGCAAATGATCCACAAATGATGCATATTCATTATAACGTCAAGTATATCCATAAACCAACATAATAGAAATCAGATATTGCTAAGATCCTATCATGCATCCAGTATATGATTACAATTCATATATCTTCCATTTAAATTGCTAAAGCATAATAAACAATTTAAACCATCCATATCCCCATCATTGACTGAACAGAAATTTTTAGCAGTTCATCAATTGATATCCATAGCCTGACATAATAATATTTAGAATTTTAAACTGAGCATATTACATTAAGATTTCTAACCAATTCTTTCATATTGGTTCATTTAAACTACTAGAACAAAACTAGGAATTAAATCCTCCTCAGTCCTTAACGGCATGCAAATTATCATTTAAATTTCATGACGTCTATTTCATCCTCAGACATAAATCCAGAGTATCACATAATGATACACAGAAAAATATAAGTTGAGCACATTATATGAAATTCCATACTAGTCCATTTAGTTTACTAAAACAGAATAAGTAACTAACGCTTCTACAACTCCCGACGGCAAATAAATACCAATTTATTCCAAAACAAGCATAGTTAATTTTAAGTAATTCACTATACTTATAACTTTGTTTAAATATGATTAAATAGTATCAAATCATAAATAGATTAACCTTTAGGTTCCAGTAAATAAGTTCGTTAAATAAACAGTGCACAACCTACAGGTTTTTTCCTCAAATCCACCTTACTCCATTCCTTAGTCCAATTATGAATTGATGTCTTCCCATTGTTTTACAAGTCCATAAGCATCATAAACATCACTTAGAATAGTTTAAACAAAGTATAAAAACTCTGTACAGTCCAAACACAGCCTAAGAACCAACAATACGCAAAACTGGGCATTTAAAACCAAAAATCCCAACTGAGAAAGCTAAGTTACAACTGAGTCGGCTGAGTTCCTAACTTAGTTGGCTCAGTTCCCAACTGAGTCAGCTCAGTTCCTAACTTAGTCGGCTCAGTTCCCAACTGAGTCGGCTGAGTTCCTAGCTTAGTAGGCTCAGTTCCCAACTGAGTCGGCTAAGTTGGTGCTGAAGCCGTCTTCTTCCTCCGTTCAGCCCCTGTAAACCCTAAAACTCCATTGTTAAGGCCTCTAAGCTTCAACCTAAGCCCCATACGTCCAAACTAAGTTATTTCAAATGTTTTAACATACAAGGATTAAACCTAACCTTCAATTATGCATCAAAACTTCCACAATCATTCAAAATAAGAATCTGCAACTAAAAACATATACCCTCTATTTTAATCCAGTTAAGCATGCATGATTAATCAATTTTAGCATGTATTTAAACCCTTGCAGTCTAGCTAGGCATGCACAGAACACAAGTTTACAGGAAGGAGATAGAGTGAAACTTGCCTCTAGGTTTCAGTTTGAAACCTTTCGCCGTCTTTAAATTGCAGAATTTCCAATCCTCTGATCACTGTTCCCTTCCTCTATTGCTTCCTTGATTCCATCCCGAAGCAACTCCCTTTCTTCCTCCTTGAGCCTCTATATGTCTCACTCAAGTCTCTCTCAGTTCTCTCTCAAATTTCCCTCTATTTTACCTCTACAGATTCTTATGTGAATAGGGTTTCTCCAAACCCTTGTAGACACAAACTGTCCTATATATATATAGACTCATGCAAAACCCTAATCATAATTCTAGCCTACTCATACGTCGGCTACCCTAATTACATAAATTAAAACCCTAAACTTAAATATACGCAAACACTGTACTAACAAATGACCAATCAGTTACATCCATTATAATTAAATAAATAATTAAAAAAATGATATTTAAAACAAATAAACAAAGGAAAAACAAACCAATAAATATAATTAACTAAATCATTCAAAACACAAAAACAATTAACTTAAACAATTTCTAATTAACAATTAATTTAAATACACACAAATAATCAATTAAGTAAACACATAAAACAAAATCACCATTAATTAATTAAGGAACAAAACATATAAATCACATAAAACACATAATTAAATAAAAAATGCAATAAAAATCATAATTTAATTCCCATTTTATCCTTTTAAAAACTAGGGGTATTACAAGGCCTCATTAACATTACTTACTCACCAACTGAAAATCAACTGGCAGATATCATGACCAAACCTCTTCTCCCTCAACGATTTTCAACCCTCAGAGATCTTCTCAGGGTTGTTCCACCCCCTTTCTAAGCCTCTCATTGTTGGTCCTTCTCACTTTTTGTCCTTTAATGTCAAAAAGGGGGAGAATAGACTAAAATAAGGGTAGTTTTTCAACTATCCCTTCTTTTACTTGCTGTTATTGCTAATTTGCTTAGTATTACTTTGGCTAAGTCTACTTTATTGAGGTCTTATTTTATGATTGAAGTTTTTGTCATTAAAGGCAAAAGGGGGAGATTGTTGGTTGTAAGTTCATTAAGACATTGTTTGCCTCTTTAATGTCAAAAATAAGAGTGGCAGTGGTTTCAAATGGCTTCTTCATTGTCAAAGTTGTTTGAAATAAGCCTCAAGGATAGTGTGGTCATTTTTTATTCAGTGACTTATCCCTCATTACTGTTTTAATGTATTCATCACAACTCATCTATCTGTTCTTGCTTAATTTGCTGAGAATTGTGTGGTTTTAGTTCATGTAAACTATCACAAATGGTTCCAGGGGTAGCATTGTCATTTCTCAGTTGTATTCAACATATACACGTATGTTTTGGATGCTGCATTGCACTGGATTGACCTAAGTGAATCAGCATTGTCATTTATACACTTTCAGGATTTTTCTTAGCTAAGAAGTTAAAAATCTGTTGCAAGGGTATTCTGGTCATTTCTTACTATGCTCAACCATGTGACACGTTTCAGTGGTCCTAAATTAAGTGAACATTCAAGAATATTGCATTTCTTAGTGACTAAGTCTCAAGCTGAATGGAATTTGCAACATTGTGGTGTATGTGTGTACTTTTGTGTGCATAGGGACAAATCTGCTAAGGTGGCCTTCTATAATTGGCTCTTGCTCTTGGAAATATCTGCATTGTACTGTTTCAATGATTGGCTTGAGGTGATAGGCGTAATATGTGGGTGTATGAAGGTCTGTGCACTTTGTAAATCCATATATATATATGTTGTTATAGCCCTTTTAGGGTTTAAGCCTTGTGAGAGAGGAGTGTTTTTGAGCTGCAGCCTGAATTAACTCGAGAGCCTTGATTAAACTAGTTTGTTTGAAGTTTTTGGTGATGATTCAAGCCTGAAAAACTTACTGATTCGAGATATGTGATAGTTATAGCAGAAAAGATGTTGCTGCTTCTGTTTTTCACAACTGCAAGGGCTGGATTGAGTATTGGACTTTAGTTCCAAGGTGCTAAAGTCTTTTCAGAGAGTTGACACAGATATCAATCACCTTGCTGAGGTCTTTTCTGAGATTTTCATGGATTCAAGCACTGATTGGTTATGCCTTGTTGTATGATAAGTTTTCAATCCTCTAGCAAGTGTATTTTGATGAATCTTGCATGTTGAAGTTGGCTTTGTGATAGAAAATTGGTCTGCAGCAATTTTCAGTTCTTAACCCTTTGTCATAGAATGTGTTTTTGCTGAATTCCCTTTTTACCCCTCAAAACATAATTGCTGAAAATTGGTGGTATGAAGTGGTAATCTGAAATACTGAGTTGTCAGTTTTCATTTCAATTGAAGAAAGTATCTGTGATTGCTATTTTACATTTGTTATAATGTATTTGGTGAGCTTAGAGAGCTTGTTTGGTCCTGGCAGGGTTGCCTAGGACAGGGGGAGTGTTTGTATACACTTTGTTGAGCTAGTGTGTGAAGTGAAGTGTGTGAAAACTAATGTCTACTTCTGATACAAGTGTGTGCAGAGTGTGAGATAGCTAAGTGTGTAACAGCTTACTTACAACTAGTGGATGCTTGCATTGGCAGAGGCCAAGACCCAGGGTTTTCCCTAATTGAGAGGGTTTTCTTGTAAAATCTGTTGCTTTGCTATCTATACTTGTTTTATGTTATTTTTCAGCTTCATTTGAAAATGATTTGACCAATTCACCCTCCTTCTTGGTCCAACACATTATTGGAAGAGAAAATGATATTTTCGAAATTTTATATGTTCTGAAAAATCCCTAACATTTGGATGTTGAAAAGATTAAAGTGTCCCTCTATAACGGAATGAAAAAGATAAAAAAATAATTAAATGTGAAATGACTAATGTGTCTCTTTATTTTTTTTTCTTCTTATATATAAGGACATTATTAGAAGAGAAAATGATATTTTAAAAATTTTATATCTTTAAAATATCATTAGCAGGCACATCACTAAATTTGTAACCAAAAAAAAAGTGACCTAAGCCCATTTATTTATTTTCACATAAGTGATTTTATCAAACTTAACGCACTTATGTAAAAAAAAAAAATATATTAAAGGTGATATTTGTTTACACCTTAGCCCAAAATATCCAAAGAAAAATATGGTAAAAGGAATTGGGATGCACTCCGATGCGACACCGTTATAGCTCTCTAACTAGACTGCCCGGAAAATCCCTCAGGCGTTGCGGATGCGTATGAAACCAGCTCATTTTAGCACGGTTTCCAGGATCCTCAGTCGATCATCCAGAAGAAAGAAAACCCTAATTTCGAAGAGTTCCTAGTAATCGGTATTTTTAGTATCGTGAATTCATATTTTAGAATGCTTCTCCGTTTCGTATCTATATATATATCCAGTCCTTTCACCAGATAATGTGTCAAACATCCCTATAATAGGGTTAGGTTTTTGTCCAAAAGTGACAAAAACCAATAGAGTTGATGTGATCGTAGATTTACATTTGAAGGATTATTCTGAGAGTATTGAGTTGCTGCCATCTTTCGAACGCAGACTCTTTTTCGTTTGATGATCTTGTTGAGATGAGATATGTGTTATGAAGGATTATGGTGTTAGAAGAGTCTAGGGCTAATTGTTTCACCACAAATTTTGAAGGGTTTAAGCATATTTGAACTCTATGCTTTCGGAAAATGGTGAACTTCCAATATAAGAATCAGACTATAGTTTTACGTAATCGAAGCTCATCATTGCCAAGCTTCCATCCTGGTTTGAAGCAGTTACTCATGTGGGTGACTAAAATATATAACGAAGATGTAACAGAAGAAAAAGTTGGATTTTGTCCTAAAGCAAGGTGCCCATATCTTCTAAACAAAGAGCAAAGCAGCAAAGTACTGTAGAGGGGTCAATTTTTTATGTGGCAAATGTCTACACTACCGATTGATGTCCATGGGTGGGAACGTGGGATCGATTTTTTCGTGAAACATGCTTTGGTGTTAAGCTTTGCTTTACATGTTCCGATTGGAGGTGAGCTGTATGAAGTTTTAGTCGTTTGAAATATTGGTAGTGCTTAGCCTGCGCAAAATTGATTTATATTGATGTTTTTGGCATTGAAGATTAAACTTCTTCAGCTTGTAACTTATGTTAAAGATTTTATCTATGTTGTAGAACCATGAATTGAAACAAATTTTAACTTAGTGTTGCCATGAATAACGATGCAGGTTACCAATTACTACATGAATGCAAGAGCCAAAAGGAAGGAAGATGAATCTAGATGGTAAATGTTTATTGCTCATACCAAAGCACTCTTTTGGATCTTTTCTTTCCTTGTTCGTGGTACTGTAGTACTATATGCGTAACAAATTTGACTAAAACTAGAACATTTCTGATTTTCCTTCTTTGACTTTGTTTATTTATTTATTTTTATTTTGGAAGAGTTTATTTAAAACATATCAGTATAAGTGAACATGCACGATTTACTTCATTTTTTGACTTCAATTGCATTGATAATAATGTCATACTCGAAGTATCTTACTATACTAAATTCATTGTGAATGCCCTAAGTGGAACTTATTAATTTTTGGATCCTGGATTACTTTTTTGTACATTGTCGTATTTGAGGTGCATATAGATGATGGATTGTCCATATTTGGTGATATACAATAGATTTTTTTAACAAAGATAGAAAAAGATATATACCATAGATGCAGTGGAAGTACATCATCATCATCCTTGTCTTTATCCCATATGGATGGGGCCCAAGATGCAATGGAAGTACCTAAAAGATGATGCAAATTTTGATTTCTCATTGTGGCTTGCAAGTTTGGGTTTAAGGAAAATCTGATTAATGGGGTATTCTGAACTAAAGTATTCAAAAGTGAGGTGCAGGATGGACAATGATTTTAGGCTGCTGGTAAAAAAGAGAACTGAAATAGGTTGCTTCACTCGTTACAAAGTCACCTACTTTGGTCTTCCACCTCTCCTACTAAGAGATTGTGGAGGGAAGACTCATGGTACTAACTAATGTTTCAGTAGCTTGTTTGGGTGCTACCCTATCACAAGAGCAATTAGTTTTATTTATTTTTATATATGGGCCAGTCATTGTTGCTGGAACACCTGGGCAGACTGCAGAGATTCATGGTGAAGGGGTAGTCCTTTAGCTCAACCTTTCTGAAAATGCACGGGATAAAATGGAGAGTTCTGGTTTGAAGTGAAGTACATAAGCCTGCTGACCAATTAGGGAGAATCAAATCGTCTCTGTATCTGCATTGTGTCATCTTGATAGTAGGGGCCAGGGCCAATTTGGAGTTGGTCCCAGGAACACTTCATGTCCAAGCAAAAAATGTCATTATAACTGGAATTTTCCCTACTTCTGTACTGATATGTGTTAGAAAAATGTAGGGGAGTGGTGCCGACTCTATTTAAATCTTGAAAAATCAATAGAAGCTACTAAAGGGTGCTGTTCTCAAGTCAGAAACTCATGGGACAAAAGCTGATGAGCTGAATGGGAGTCTTGGCTAGCCAGCCTTGCCAACAAATCTAAGGAAGTGTAGAATAGAAATCTGATTGGGCTGTTGATGATAAAGCTTTTAGCCAGGATTGTGTTGTCTCACAATTTTTCCTCATTGTTTATTCGGATTTAACTCATGCAGTTACTTAACCATGTGCATTGGGCAGGCCAATTGGGCTTGCTTTGAATGAATTGATTTATGGTTACCTATCTGATGAGCTAGAAGTGCTGCTAGTGAAGAAGCTGCAGAGTGACGGCAGAGTCGGCCTGATTTCTCCATTTGCAATTGTGAGTAAGAATAAGGTGCTTTTTTCTAGGTTCTCCTCTCCATATTAGTATTTTAAATTTTGGTGTTGCTTCCCCCTTTCCTTATTTTCCCTCTTTTCTTGAGTTAATTTGGTCTGAGATGAATTTTCCTTTTTCCTTATTTCTTTTTGGATGGATTTAATATATTGGGTGAATTACTCAGCCCTCCTCTGAGGTTTGGAGTTTTCACCCATAGATGAGGCCTTGGTCAAATCTAAGGTCAACTCCCCTGAAACCTTGTAAACTATTAGCCATTAAAGCTGTGTCAGAATATGGCTTTGCAATGTCAGTGTGATGCTCTTTTATTGAATAGCCATTAAGAATTTGTGGGTCCTTTGGAAGGGATGAACCTTTGAGCTCATCGCTCTAATACTTCTTGGAGGCCCTTTATATGTTCTGCTGTTGGTCACACCACTTCAAATTCAAATGGTAAGAATTCAGTTGCCCACCTGCAAATTTAGTTATGTTGTGTTTTAGAAAGTCTAAGCCTTCATAAAGTTGAGTTACCAGTTGTTGGATTTAGGTTGCATTAATTCCTTGCATGACTTAGTGTTGTACCAACAGCTGGTTATTTAAGATTATTATTAATTATCAAGCTTTCCAAGTCAGAATTCTGTCCTACATGCGGTGACTAAAGTAAAACTTTTTGGCGAGGTTGTAAACTTCATCTTGATATGTTTATGGATACACGATTTGGGAAATAAACGGTTAACATTTATAGAAAGCATAGTATCTCACGAATTTAATTCATTGTGAAGAATTGACAATCCTTGACATGGTTGGATGACTTTAAGAGCAATGTGCCACTTCATGATTTTGTGAACTGAATTCTATAACAAATTTCACGCTATGATTTTGGAACTCATTTTTCTTTGTGATAATTTTCGTTTTTTGAGATTGCCACCGTGAGATGACATAAATGACTGGGCACCTCGAAGAATATAGTGTGCATATGTCTTGGTTTTGTTGTAACAAATGATAATTTTTGGCCTAAGATACGAATAGATGGCATTCTATGCACTTTTCTACAGTATATAGTTTGTCCTCCACTAATTACTTTCTTTGGCTGATTCTATTCGTATGGAATTAAGGCAAGGATGATGATGATGGTATAGTTGTTTGTTATCCAGTGACGAATAGTAATGGCAGTTACTGGGTAACCTGACAGGGATGGGTATTGGAAGTTGTAAATGACATAGGGTTGGGTTTGAGAATAGAGAGCAAAGCCTGCTTGGGCTTGTGTGGGGACAGGTTTAAGGAAGATCTCTCGGCCTCTCTTGACAATGTATCAATTTACCGTAGTGTCCCTATTTCTTTTTGAAATAATTGATTTCCCCTTCTTAATGTGTTTTTATTGCTCGCTTATTTATTCTCTTAGTTTCATTATCACATCCTAACCCTAATTTCTCTAGTGCCGTCATCTCGCTTCACCTCATCTTGCCGTCCTGAATTGCTGCCGAATTTAGCAAAGGTGAGTTTACTTGTTCATGTCATTTAATTTCTTTTACAATCTTTTGGATTTCCTCTTATCAATTCCTTCACGTAATCATTATCACCCTCTACATTACCAGCATCATAATCGACCTTTCCTTAGAGACCGTACTCTTCTTCTCTGTTTAGTAATTTAATCTTGGTTCACTTCTTGTTCACTAAGCAGGGTTGGGACTTGGTGTGAGATCATGTTTCGAGTTTTGCGAGAAGATGGGACAGGGTTCTTTATTGGTGAAATCCCCATCCTTGAAAAAAAATTAAATAAATGTTGGGAATCCCATTTCCCACTTAGATGCACTGTAGATGTCTTATGTTTCCACTCTGATACATGCATACGTGTATAATTATAACCTTTGATTGGTAAATACCTTCTGTGTCTTGGATCATCCGGTCTCTAGCATTGCGTGTCACCGTCCTCCTCTCTGTATGTGCTTATAATTGAGCATCGTTCCTTCCTTAATTGTCATTTCTGGACACACTTATTCTGTATTAATCAAACAATATAGACGAAGATCCCTCATTTCTCTGCATTGATTCTTCACTTGCAGGTTGAGGTCCTCTCGTTATGGAGTCACTTATGACCCATTGGTTGGAACTCCTGAAAGTTTCAGTGTCAAGCGACCTCCAGATGAAATTGCGGATGATATCTTGCTAAGGCTACCGGTTAGGTCCATCATTCAATTTAAAAGCGTGTGCAAACCATGGTACAGTTTATTCAGTAACCCAAAATTTATTAAGGCGCACTTGTATCGAGCTATCATGAACAATTCTGGTTATTTTATCTTAAAACATCCTTTCATCTCTGAGGAAGAAATGAATTTCTATGGAATTCAGGTAAGATCTGGTTTGGAAATCTTTACTATTGCAAGTTATGAGGACGTAAGGAAATAAATTTACTCTTTTCGAAGTAATGAAACTTTTAATGAGTTTGAGGATGTAAAACTGCCAGTTCAAACTAATTCAGGTTATTTTCAAGTAGTGGAATCTAGTCATGGATTAATCTGTCTCACAGAATCAGATGCTTCTGGCTCATGTCTTCTCTTGAACTCTGTGGAACCTTGCCATCCATGAAATAAGAATCCTTCCGGATGGTTACTTCAAAAAATATGGCGGTCCATTAAGGGTGGTTGGTCTTGGATTTGCATTTCACTCTAAGATTAATGACTACAGAGTGGTAAGAATTTTCTGTTCTGGGGAGAGCGAGACATTGGATGTTGAGGTGTACTCTCTAAGTACAGATTCTTGGAGAAGAGTTGAAACCAATATTCGGTGCAGCTTGGTCATTAGTTTGTCACTGGCATTTGTGAATGGAGCTTTGCATTGGATGGCTTCTTAGACGGATGTGAATTGTGGTTATCATGATTTTATCTGGTCATTTGATATTGGTTCAGATAAGTTTGACAAGATAATGCTGCCAAAGTTTCACTATGTTGACTATTTTAAGCGCAAATTTCTTGCAAGGTTCAGGGAATCTCTAGCTCTGTTTGTTTATGACTGTCGTTTGAATGACAATTGTTTAGCGTATTGTGATGTATGGATTATGAAGGAGTATGATTGTAGAGTCATGGGCTAAACAATTTATAATTAAACAAAGGAATAAAGTCGTGAGACCAATACAATTTATTGATGATGGTGAACTTATAATGGAGAGGGACAATGGGCAATTGGTTTTGTATGACGTGGAAGTTGCGAAAGATAGGAATCTTCGTGTTTTTGGGCCAGTTCTTATTGTTAAATACATGGAGACCTTGGTTTCACCAATGGGAGGAAACATATAGTAATTGGCATCTCAACTAAAATGGGGCATTTGCAACTACTTAGGAGAGGAAATCGATAGAAGTAAATCAAAGGAGAGAGAGTGAATTTAGTTGGAGATGTGACATGTAGTCTTATCTTACTTTTGTTTATGGTATTTTCATGGATGCTTTTCTTTTCTTTTTCTTTTTCTTTTTTTTGTTCTCGAAGGAACAATGTGCTTTATCATTAATACCTTTAATTTAGTTCTTATATGCTATTAGCTTTAGAAATATCCTTAAGGAGATTAAGGGCATATTACTAGTTGTAGCATGATTTGCAGTTGTCGGACTTAAAAAAACATCTTTAAAACTAATGTTGTAAACGTAATTGTGCAAATTTTACAATACATACAAATGTTTGATAAGTAGGGCAACTAAGATTACTGGTAAAATCGCATCTGGGCTATTTCTTATCATAAACATAGAGCAGACAGTATGATATGTGTAATACGCATTACGTGCTTTGAATTTACAGTTTAATTATTTGTAATGTTTTAGAAAAATCTATATTAAGCCTTTTATTATATAACTCTTCTTTTATAGGTACTTAGAATAGGATTTTTGGAGTCTCTCTTCTGCTTTCTTTTGCCTCCTTTATGAAAAATAATTCATTTCCAAGATGCCCAGAATCTCATATTTCTGTCCACCTCGTCTATACAAGAGGGAATTGATTCTTATATATTTTCCCTTACGAAAATTTTAAGGCGTGCAGAAAATTTATTATTGGAAATGAAACTTTTAAGGGCCCGTTTACTTACGCTTTCACTTTCTTACTTTTACTTTCTCCAAAAGTAAAAACATAATTTTCATTCCTTGCACTGAAATAGAAAGTAAAATGATGTTTAATAAGAAGATTTTATTTTTAATATTTTGAAAGCAAAAAACAATAAGTAACTTTAATAATTTTGATTATAATTTTGTTTTTCCTATTAACTCTCTCTCTAAATTCTTTTTATCTTTCTCTCTCTAATATATATATATTTTTATCTGGGTTTGATGAGGATGGATACAGAGTATGTATGGGTGTGTGTGTGTGTATATATATATATATATAAAAGAGAGGAGGAGTAGTGATAAGCTTGGTCACTGGTCTACATCACGAAGACCCCCCAGTTGATGAACCTCAGTTACAGAAGACCCAATTGACGGATGAACGTTAGTTACAGCTCCGGCAAAAACAATTTAGTTGAGAAGCTATCTCTAAGCTAACAAGATCAAATCAGCCTTCAACGATGGGTTTTTCAATTCAGCGATAAATTGCTTATTGGGTCTCAGAGAGTTTGTCTGGAATTCGTTGAGAAAGGACGTGAAAACAACTTGCCGCCGATGATGGAGAGTCGACTTCGTCTTCCCCGATTCGCCTTTATGTGATTGGTTCAAGTTGATTCGGGTATATTATTGATGGGTTTTGATGTGTATGGGAGAGGAGAGAGATGGTTGTGGCAATGGGTATGGTGGGGAGGAGGTGGGTGGAGGTGATGGTGATACCTAATTTTGGTGTTGGTGGCCATGGTGTGGAGGAGGTATCGGCGATGTGTGATTTCTGAATTTTGAGTTTTTTTTTATTTATTAAAATAAAAAGTGCTACAGTATGAAAGTAATTCCTAGGAATAGTACAGAAAGTAGAGAAAGTAACAAATCCTCACTTTCTCTTTCCTTCATTAAATGTGAAAGTACTTTCTAAAATATAAAAAGTAAAATTATATTAATAAACATAATTTTTACTTTTACTTCTTATTTTTAAGAATTGACAGTAGAAATCAGGAATCATTCCTGTTACTAAATAGGCCCTAAAAGTTTTAGAATTTGTACTTGGAACCTAGGTATGAATTGACACATTAGAATAAATATTTCAAACAATTGTTTAACACTGTTATTTATTTGTTTGTTTTGATGAATAAATGAGGAGCATTTATAACTTATGTAGGTATATAAAGTTTCTGGTTTCGCTTTATGTATAGCTGCAATGGAATAAAATGTTGTATTATGAAGAATGTTACATTGTAAGCAATGAACATGCGGCACTTAATTTTTCATGTATTTAATATTTTACTGTTATGGATTTTAGTCCCCAAATATTGGATTTTTTTGCATGTATGTTTCTATATCTTTCAATATATGGCTTTTTTGTTTTTTTATTTTATTTATAAATTATTATTATTTTTCAATGATATTGTATCTTAGATCCCAATGTAATATATACGGATTTCTTAACATACAGAATTGGTAATTAATTTGACATGAATAAGTAGAATCATGATTACCCATTTTTTTTTGTACACTGTAGTTTTCCCAATTGTGTTCAGGTTTTTGGCTACTCATGTGGTGTTAGGTCATGCATGCAACAATTATTTGCAAATGCTATTCCTTTTCTTTTGTTTGTAGAGGTCAATTACTTTTGAGATGTTCAGGATAAAGGCAAAAATCTTCTTTTTGTCCTTGAAGCCCATAGGTTTTTCACAAGATTGTAGTTGTGAGATCTTACATTCATGTACGGTCTTTGTTTTGGATTGGTAGTCTGCTAGGTATCACATATATTGACATGCCACGATTTGGATACGTTGATATAATAAATACTAAAAGAGCATCATGACACGGATGCATCAAAGACATTTTGTTTAATTTGTATTTTGTGTTGGACAATTATATAATCTTGATTCATTTCTTCATATTTGTGTACTATAAAAATGACTTGAAAGATAAAGCTCAACAAATATCTTTTTCACATAGATTAATTTTATCGTATACCTTACTATACTCCCTTATTATATCTCCCTTTTACAACTATATTCTTTTTCTCTTCTGCTTTGATATCAAAGAAAAGGAGCTAAAAACCAAATTTCTTGATAAAACTGGAGTAAATCTGCGATTATTTCTATCCTTCCATTTAAGTTGAGTGATGAAGGTATCATTAGTTTGCGATCATCCTCCAGGATGTGAAAGAAATGTTATACATCTTAGTAAGGAAGGGTGACTAACTTTAAGTTTTTCCAGAGAGCAAGAGCAAGTATACTGTGGAACATGATCCATATGAGGAGTATTACTTCACTGATCCTGAGCTTTTTCAAGCTATGCCATACTACCATATTTTTTCAGAGACGACTTCTTCTCGGTCAGAGAGAATTGCTGAGGTAGCTTGAGTCACATTCCACACATCATTCATTCCTATGCCAAGCCTGGGGTTAGAGAGAGATTTTAGTACTTTCTTTTAATTTTAGCAGTATGATTATCTAATAGTTAATTCTATATATGGTATTTATCTGTTGGCAGTATCTGTTTTTGAGTATTTAGTAACTTGGGCTTGCTTGTAAATAGGCCTTTTGTAATAGGATACCTGCTCCCCCCTTCTTTTAGGACTGAATAATAATTGTAGATCTTCCTCCCTAAATTTCAGCTATCTCTTTCATCTTCTATATTCTCTTCCTCCACCTCCTCTCTCTCTCTATCTCTTCCCTTTCTCCGCTTCTACATGTATTTGGTATCACAGGTCACTTTTGCGTCTTCTGTATGCAAGTATCCAACTCGTTTCTAGGGGTCTTATGTGAAGGAGTCGTCTTGTACGCAGCACATTGTCAGACAGTGACGCAACAACTCCTTTGAAGTGTTGGCGCTTCATAGTTAGTTACGAGGTATTGACAAATCTCAAATTTGGTGCTTCAGAGTTAGTTACAAGGTATTGAAAAATCTCTATATATATATTTTTTAATAAATGCGTTGTGTTTGAAACAAGAACACCTTCATGTTGCTGAAATGAGAATGTTGAGATGGATGATAGGAGTGACTAGAAGAGATAAGATTAATAGAATCAACATGTGTTGGAGAAATTAGGTGTCGCTGCTATTAGTGATAAAGTAAGAGAAAGCAATCTTAGGTTGTATGGACACGTTCATGTGGACTTGCAAATGCACCTGTGAGAAAAGGAAGATTAGTTTGTATGGATGGTAAGAGATAGGGGCCAACCAAAACTAACAAGGGATTAATGAATTGGAAATGACTTCAGAAAATAAATACAACAGGTGAAATGACTTGTAATAGAAAAGAATGAAAAAAAAAAAAAAAATCATATGTCCGACCCCATTTGTATGAGATAAAGACAAGGATAGTGATGATGATAAATGTGTTGTATTTATTGGCCGCTTGCCACTATGGTATCATGCACCATCTTATGCGAAAGATTAATCTAGAAAAGAGTGCATCTCCAAAATTGGAGAGGATCCAAGTAGACTTGCTGGATGTTCTCCTGTTCTGATAATGAACATAAATCTGTCATGTCACATGTGCATTGACATGGTCTGTTGGTTTCTGATGATGAACACAAGTCAGTTATGTCATATGTGCATTTACATAGTCTATTGTTGCTGTTGGTGTTTGCTTTTTTTTTTTTCCTCCCTGAATTTAGCGCTTATTGTTTTCCTGAGAAGCAGCTTGAGGTAGCAGCACATATTCATCTTAAAGTTTGTTAGCAGTATATTTTGCTACTTGAGTAGGCTATTATGACTCATGAGCATGTTATAATTAAGAAAGGAGAAAGGAGATGCAGGATGCTTTTGCTAAATGCAGACTCTCTACTTTTATTTATTTATTCCTATACTATCAGATTAGTGGTTTAGTTTGTGTGCTTGCATAAGCATTATAAATTCCTTATTGTCATATCATTGCCTATAGTTGTATCGCCTCATGTTACACGGACTCTTCAAAAGTAGGTGAAGTAACCATATCAGCCACACAAAACTCTAGACATGGGTATGGATATGTGTATGACACTTCTAGTGTGACGTGCACCTAAAAAATGTATCCAATAATTCAATTTTATTATATTATTACTTCAAGCTATTGCAACAACATTATTGTACCCCAGAAAATAAAATATTAAATTGTATAATTTGAATATTAGTAGTTTCCATGTGTCCTGTTTGGGGATTTGACACGTCCCATGCTTAGATACATACCTGCACCCAGCATGTATTGGAGTCCATGTACAATAGCCTACTTTCTCTTGAGACTTATTTTGAGGTGGTAACCCTACTTCCTCTTTCCAGCAGACAGTGACAGGAGTTTGAGCTCCTTTAAAAATTGGAACAGTCAAGCTCCTTAGGAGACTAACCATCAAAGCCCAGGTCGAGGTGTCAACGCCGCTAGACTTTATTTATGTTCTCCCCTAGAGGGTGTTACCCAGGCTTCCTTAATTTGCTTCTGTGATGCAGGATAGATAGAAGTAGAAGTGAGATAGAGAAGAGAAGAGAAGAGATGAGAGCAAGACTAGAGACAGATAGAGAGAAGAGGGGAAGAGATCAGGGGAAGGAAAACTGAACTCAACAATATTTTGTCTCAAATCAAGTCTGAATATATGAGTTACATATATGCCTATTTATAGGCATCAAAAAGTTTTCCTTAGCCACTAAGGAAATACAAAAGTATCTTGGAGAGTCCTTCTTGCCTAAGCAAACAAATAAAATATCAATCAAAACAGCAGCATATCAAATATCGGTCAAAACAGTCCAAAAGTGCAGCCTCATCTGGACGCAGATTAACAGTCAAAAACAGTCAAAAGGCAGCTTAAGCTAGCCGCCTACACCTAGTGTAGCCGCCTATGCCTACTGTAGGTCTTTAGGCTGCTAGACCCTTGGCCTAGTGTAGGTCTTTAGGCTGCTAGCCTTAGGGTCTTCATCACTCTGCCAGTTCAATAAGTTATCACAGACAATTAAGAGCCCTATAATTTGGAATTAGAGATGCTCGTATAAGTTTTGATATTGTTATTCCTTTCATGGGGATTCATGTAAGTGTGCATTTTTTAGGCTGAGTTGATGGCAAGAATAACACATTGCGCTTGCAAGTTTGGAAGTATGAAACTGAAACAATGCAATTTAATTCATGGAATCTCCAGAACCGAAGTATTCAGAAGGGAGATGCAGGATGGGGAATGAAATTAGGCTGCTGGTCAAAATAGTAAACTGAAATAGGTTGCTTCACAGTTCACTGATTACAAAGTCACCAACCTTGGTGTTCCACCTCTGTAATTGAGCGATTAAAGAAGGAAGAGTCACGGTACTGATGTTCATTAGCTTGTTTGGGTGTGTTACCTTATCACAACAGCAATTAGTTTCTTTTTTGGTATATGAGCCAATTATTGTTGCTGGGACACCTGGGCAGGGTGCAGATATTCATGGTGCAGGGGTAGTCTTTGAGGTCAATCGTTCTGACCATGCACAGTATAAAATGAAGAGTTTTGGTTGGAAGCGAAGTGCATATAAGCCTGCTAACCTAGCATGGGAGAATCAAATTATCTTGGTATATGTATTGTGACATCTTGATACTAGGGGCAATTAGGAGTTTGTCCCAGGATCTGTCCAAGCAGAAATTGTCACCATGACCGGAAGTTTCCCTACTTCTATACTTGGAGTTTTGGTAATTTGTAAGACTCTTGTGTATTTAGAAAACTGTAGGAGTTTGGTGCTGATTCTATGTTAATCTTGAAAAATTAATTCAACAACTAAAGGATGCTTTTTCTCAAGTCAGAAATTCATAGGATGAAAGCTGATGAGCTGAATGGGAATCTTGGCTAGCCAGACTTACCAACAAATCTAAAAAAGTGCTAGAAGACCAAGCTTATTGTGCTGTTGATGATAACGCTGGGTGGTGCTGTCGCAGATTTTTTTCTCACTGTTAATTCAGACTTATGCAATTACTTCACCATGTGCATTGGGCAAGCCAACTGGCTTTGTTCTGAGTGAATTAATTTATGGTGTTACCATATCTGATGCGCTAGGGCTGCTGTTTGTGGAGAATCTGCAGAGTCAGCCTAATTGCTCGATTTGCAATTGAGTGTACAGAGGGCAAACTCGTTTTCTCTAAGGTAGAAGAGTTTCATCCTAAGTAGTAAGTTGATGACAGCTTTACTGTTATCAATTTTTTTTTTTTTTTTTTGGGTGTATAATATAATTTTGGGTGTTCCTTTTATTTTTCCTTATTTTCCCTCGTTCCTTGAGTTAGTTTGATCAAAGTTAAATGTTCCCTTTTTCTCTTTTTCATTTTGGATGGTTTTAATATATTTTAGCGAAGAAAAACATCACTCACTATGTACTGCAGCCTCAAGTCTGCTGAAATACACCACCAGGGGAGGCCTGAACTCAAAATTGCATTTTATTTTCGTTTTATATTTCAATAAATTTGTGGAACAAGAAGTTGTAAATTAATTGAGAGATTTCTGAAACTAACAACCCATATGGACATAGATGTTGTCATATTTTTTTTTTCTTCATGAATCTGTCATTTTATGTCAGATAAAATACTCATATGAAAATCATTTCATAGAGAAGTTTTAGGAGAAAAGGATGATTAAAGGTATTATGAAGTTACTCTTATCCTCTTTCCTTTCCCGTTGCTCATTCTTGCCTAACCATGGGCTTCCTCTGATGCAAAGAAAGTTTCCATGTATACACAAATCAGAAGAACCAAAAAATTGTCTACTCTTATGTCCTCAAATTGCAGCAGAGTAGAAATCTTAATTGCCAATTCTATTTCTGTAGTTCCGTATGAATCAAACTTCTCATTTTGAGTTATAAGAAATGATCCCATATATATTGATCAAATAACTTCATACATTGCCATTAACATTGAAATAAATTAATCTCCCAACCTTCAGTTTTCATATCACAACTTCTACCAGTGTCAGTTGTTCATCCCTTTATCAAATGAAATTTTAACTTTGAAAAGCTTTTCCTTTTGAGAGCCAGATGAACACAATAAATTGAAGAGCTCCATTCTGCATCATTGTTCTGTGTACTTCGTGTAGCTAATTTCTTTATCTTTCCCTTGTTGGTCGGTATGAAAAGTTATTTGACACTGAAGCTGTGAGAATTTCCTATCAAAATAAGTTTTAATGCAATAAATTTTAGCTGTAATGATCTTAAGTGCAAAAGCTGGCAATTGCATGTGTAGAGCTTTACGCCTTTAATTTGTTTTCTTGTCAACATAGTGCATGTTTTTCTTCAATTGTTATACCTTTTATTTGAGCAACTGATTTAAACATTCTATTTATAGGAAAATATACCTATTGTAGAAAAAAGTATTTTGAAGATAATTCATATACATATTATAGATTTGACTTGTTTTAAGTCGATAACTTCTTAATTTGTTCAACTAAGTAAGTCATAAAACTCATGAACAGTGCCACAGACCTTTTTTTCTCTGTTTGGTGGGGGAAAAAAGAAAATGTTTGTGGCAGTGCACCACAAAGACACTCCACTAAATTTTTTTATTTTTTATTTTTTGTGGCAAGTAACTCCACTAAATTCTTTCAAGAGCATTATATTGTTTTCAATTAGATCAGGACCATTTGGTGGCCCATACTTTCTAGGATGTATATGCAAAAGAAGAAGCTGGATAGTCTTGTCCATTCTAAACAGTGTTTAGATTGTAGTGGGATTGAGATTTGTTGAAGACAAGCATATATTCTTAAGTGTACAGTGTATTATTTACCTTAAAAAGTTACGTTTCGATCTAGTTTTTATGTCTAGGGTTGGATTGGATGTTTCCATCAACGTATTATGACCTAATTTGTCACTTTTATCTGAATTCTTGAGACCAGAAGGTGGGAAAGAAAATTGTCAATCTTTAAACACATATAGGATATGAAATACAAGGTAACGAAGAATGAGAAAATTTATTATTTCATCAAAGTTGTAATGTCTATACAAGGGGGTATTGATTGGATCCACTTATTAAATGGGTTTTAGCTGTGTAGTTAAAATCTATTCCATTGGTGACTTGAAAATCGTGGACTCAAATACTTTTACTCTTTTGAGGTTATAAACTTATAATCATCAAAGGCCAGGCAGGCGTGAGCAATAACAAACATGATACCACTTAATTCTTTCAGTCTCCACTTAATTTATCCTCATCCCAAGGTGTTCTGATAAAAAGAATTTCATTTTATGTTAGAATTGTCATTGGCCAAGTCATAAAACACCACCTGATAATAGGATGACAAGACAAAATATGAACAACTCCTCATGGAGAGGCCACGTTTTTACTAGTTATCCAAACTCTAATTATAGTGTCGAAAATTATCATTACTTTTTTGTTTTTGTTTTTTTTTATCGAGTCCTGCTTGGTAAATATCAAGACTCACATATTTACCTCATTTCGTGATAATCTACTTTATTTCAGCTGTCCTTTTCAGCTTGTGAAAAGATAAATGTGGAGGGAATCAGAGTTTAGCTCTTCAACAATCTTCTTTATTAAGGAAGGCATAATGATAGGACCTCAAAAGGTACTTTAATTTAATGATATTATAGTGATTATTGGTTGGATCTTACTTTTATAGTTACTTTTATCATCATTATTAATTTGTCTTTTGTTATTTGATTGCCATGATGACACTGAAAGAAAGTTAAAAAATCTGAAATTTACAGTAGTTTCTCTTATATTTTCTCAGCAATCAAATGTTGCATACAAAGTTGAAATTCTAGAAATAGTCAGTTGCCTCCTTTTACTTGGCCATCCCTTGTACAAAATTCTAATTGCAATCATGGGTAAAAGGCTGTGAGTAATATCTTTGGTACCAAGGGGCTGTAGCTTAGATGGCATCTCCTCAAAACGCCAAAGATCGTGTCAATTGGGACAAAGTGGGTGTGTGTTCTTACCAATAAAAGAAAAGAGTAATTTTTTTTTGGTTATAATTTTACAAGAATGTAGTATGTAGTGATTCTTTTATTTTATTTTTTCCCCTTTAAGAATAAATTCAGAAATACTTTTATCATTGTAATGGCGCACCATGTCCATCTCTAGTTTCTTCAATTGTTTTTTATTCTTTATAGTTAACAGATCTACTAAAAAGCAAGGAAAAAAAAAACAAAAAGACAAAAGCTATACTCTACAATAGAATCACAAGAAAAGGAATTTTTCTCCAAAAGCTGAACATGTTTTTATCAAGGTCTGTCTAAACTTCAACAGATGTCGCTTCCTTGTTTTTCCAATGGTTAATTCCCTCTTCTCTATTGTTCATTTGAAATATATAATTGTTGAAATTACTAATTTAAAATTCGAGAAACAGATGAGAGAGGAATAACTTTGATTTAGCATACTTGACAATATTTTATTGTCATACTGAGTTGCAGGACACCTTTCTTTTGTTCCTGGGAACAAGATAGGATGTCATGGGCGGCACTAATAATTTTTTGTCGGCTAAAGCAAGTTTACTAAGGTTCTGTTTGCTTGACATCTTGGAAGTGGAAAGTTCTCCAATTTGTACTTTCAACATGCCATTCAGTTCATGACTAATCAATTCTATTTCATAAATTTACTAGACACTACTAGGAACCCAATGATATGATTTCCTGTGATGCTATCAAAGGGTAGGGAAATAATACTTTTCTAGGCACAATTTTTTCTCCATAAAAACCATTATGCTCCAAAATTTGTTGAAAACTTAAAATCGTATTGGCACAGGATGAATGCCAAGAGGGAAACTATATTATCTGTATCAATGGAGTATTTTATATTTTTATTTTTAAAATTTCTGGTGGCTAGGGATTAAAATGCATTAAAGACCAGAACTTTCCACTTATGTTTTGCTGAACAGGGCATGTCACTTGAATTATATGACAAACTCTATATTGGTAAAAACATAATCTGTGAAGCAGTTTGTAGAGCACCAAAAGTCAGCATACTTGAAAATTAAAACTGAGATGAGGCCCTGGGTTAATGGTCAGAAAGATTTTGGATGACTGAAGAAGCCATTGTTCACCTAAACTTTTCGAGTTCAACTACTAGATTTTATTCTCTCTCTCATGAGCGCACAAGGAGCATTTATGCATTACTTCCACCTATTGCCTTATCAGTGTTGATGAGTCCCACAGAAGTTGAGAAGTATGAATTGATAACTAATCTTAAGTCGTGAATTTCAAATGTACAATTTTTTTTTTTTTGCTTTGGCTTCAAATTTATAGGTATTCTGCAACTGTCTACCTGTTTTTTAAGTGAAATGTGTAAATTTGTTTTGTTTTATTTATTTATGTAAGTATATATTTTTTAATTTTTGGTGGTAGGGGTTGACAAATGAACATGTTGACCTGTATTAAGCATGAACACTCATTATTTTTGCCATCATATACTGATCTTTGCAATATTGCGGAAACATTACTCAATCAGGATGTTTATCAGATGGTCATAAGAACACACAGCTATCTAACCCCTAGCCCATAATTTGTTGTTGGTTTTAGATTCCTTTGATTTAAGAGTCATCTATGAAACAGTTCAAGTTCTATTGACATACTGGATTGCTATTTCTTCTTTGAGGAAGAATGTTATCAAGAGCCCTACCCAAAAAAAAGAATGTTATCAAGAGAATTGGGTGAATTGATTAAATTATCTGAAAACCAATCATTTTTCCTGCTAAAATGCATGGGTGGCACTCTCCACAAGAAGGGCATGTTGGTTCCAAATTTCCAATCAAAATAAGCGACACAAATTTGGAATAGTTGACTCTTTACTCATGTCCCACTTAATATGGACATAAACATTATTACACTGTTTGGGCTGTCTTCTCACTTAAAAACACTATCCAATTCCATTAGGTCTTTGATGTTGGATAGGTTGGTATTTAGAACTAGAATGAAAGAACGGGATGAGATAGCAGAAGATGAGATGAGATGAGACTAGAAGAAAGAAGTGAGAAGATAGATGAAGGGGATGAGAAGATGGATTGAAAAGATATGTTGGAAAGACTGAAGGGTTGGGAGGAGCAAGAATTATGAGACAGAAGAAGACAGAGAATTCTCAAACCACGATAATATTTCAACAATCAAAACTAAATTTTCTTTTTGGCATATGGCCTTTATATAGGCAATTTATTAAGCAAACCCTAAGAAATCCTAAAATATCTTCCAAAAATTACCAAAAATAACAAGAAACATAATTATGTAGACCTAATTTACAAAAATTTCTAATTATATTTCTCTTTTCCTCTTCTCCAAAAGTAATGCTGAAACACATTCAACTCATGTGTGCAAATCACATCTCGTTCCCCATCTGTCTTCTTGCGATCTTTAATGCACCATGATACCCCTGAAGACATCAACATATGAGTCAATATGGTGGTCCGTCTACAAAATAAAGATTGTTAATGATATTTATTGCAATGGCATCATGTGGAAGGCACATGCATATTTTGCAGATTAATATTACTGGCTGCCACTTAATAGCGGGAGGCTATTGCTGGCTTCTACACGCAAAGGCTAAGATGGCGGTGAAGCAGAAGATGATTGAAGTTTTCCATTTCAGCAAGTGACTTCCAAGGTTTGCAGTTAGCATGGAGTCATTGAAGGATGTGAGGCAATGTCCGGCATCTTGCCAAAGCAAGGGTATGCAAACATTCGATCTAAAAAAATCATTGCAATTATCAAAATTGCAAGGTGTAATTGGTTGGGATTAAACTCTGCTCATTTTATTGAAAGAAGATTTCTAAATAGATTTTGTTTAACACTTGGTAAAGGTAAATGGTGGAAGGGCATGCAAAACGCACAATGTTCTTTCTTGACACTATTTCTACATTTGTCAACTGAGTTGCAGAAGAGGATACCACAAAACACTGGACTTAGTATTCTCTAATACATTTTGATTCTGTTTCTGCCTCTCACCCCCAAACCCTTCTTATGAAAAAAATTATATTTTTTACTAGTTTGAATTTGGCAGGGACGATGATGATATCGTTGGATCTTGTGAGGCATCGCCCACTTAGTGATTATCTAGGTACTCTGCAAGTCTTGTGTAGCAAGTTCGCGTCAACTGATTTGGCTGAAGGATGCACTCAGGGGGAACTTCAAACGATGGCATTAAGAGCCAGATATGAAACTTTAAACCAGTGACTTTCTTGCTGTGTCACGGTGAGATTTCTAACTTAGAGCAATCTTGGTGATCTTATTGCAATGTCAAGGACTGCTCCGTACAACTTTTCTTACCCTACAAAGACTGAGTTTCTTAGTCTAAAGATGCATATACTGTCTGACTCTTAATAAAATTTCTGCCCTTTTGCTCAGAAAAAGAAAAAGTAAGATGATTTGCTCTGTGCGTGATTTAAAAAAAGGAGTACTAATATTGAATAGTTTATTTTTTTGCAATGTCAGTGACTGCTCTGTATAACTCTTACCCTACAAAGACTCAGTTTCTTAGTCTAAAGATGCATATACTGTTCTGAGTCTTGATAAAATTTCTACCCTTTTGCTCAGGAAGAGAGAAAGAAAGATGATTTGCTCTGTGTGATTTTTAAAAAGTACTAATATAGATAGTTTATGAGAATTAGATATCAGGTGACAATTTAGTCTCTGGAGGACATCTTTCTTCCTTTTGTTTTTCGTTATACTATGAAAAGGGACGGATTTATTGATTCAAATGCTAATATAAGAAAATGGATTGATGTAATTCACTTCTGACATGTATTTCTCCTTAATACTATAAAGCACTTCTCTAGTCTTATGATTCCTTATATAAATGAAATTGTGTAAAAGGTAAGACAATGCCCATTTGTACCATGACAGGCTAGTAACAAGAAGAAACTAATCGGAGTAAAGAAGCCAACCGAGTCAACCGACCCAACTGGAATTCAATTGATGGACTGAAAACCTCTAGTCATGTATGTATATCTGTACTTTCTACTACATGAGATCATTGGTACAAACATTAACATGGATCATCTGCTAAACATATGCTATTCTTTGTTACTACATGTATGAGCTTGATTCATAGAGAAAAAACCATCCTCGTTTATGCTTTGCAGAACCTCTAAAGGAACACATGATCCTTAGCCAACACTGGTTACTTACAGTTCTACATGAGGATGGCGTAGCGCATGCTGTCGTTAACCATAAGATGATTCAAATCTGATATCCGAGCCAGTTCAGCAGTCGCCCAGGCTCCATCAGCACTATTGATATGAGGATGAGCAAAGCAGGAAAGAAGCGAGAGCGGAGCTCGTACGACGCTGTAGACAACTGACAACCCGTTCCGACCTGGCCGTCTTCCATCTCCGTCATGTGCCATGATTGGCACTTCAGCTCCATTGCCACCTTCAAACATGTTCTCATCTGCCACTCGTGGACTCTTCCTCATGTTCTGGAGGTTCCGCCTCATCACAACCAGCATGCGCCACATCTTTCCTGTTGACAGAGATCGTTTGCCGGAATCCGGTGAAGGTACCTGAACTTGGAAGTGAAGAAAAGGGTTAGAAGGCCACCTTTCTATATAGCTTGTGATAATGGTGTGTGTTGTTGGTGGTGGAGTTGCTAGTGCTGGTGCTTATCACAAAGGTTTATCATTTATGGGTGCTTTTAAGGACTCTCACTTCTGTTTTTTTCTATATCTGTGGGGTCTCTCAAGCCCAACTTGCCGACAAAGCTGCCTAATTCTAAACAATACTCATGTAGTGTGATATTTGAGGTTGTGAAAGGTCACACTATATTCAGCAAAAATACAACAATATGTTGTCACTTGCTGGGCTGACCGTTAATGCTTACACAACTTGATCCTTGAATCCTTATCGTTTGATCAACCATCATATTTGGCCATTTGTGACTAACAAATTCAGATTGATATATATACACACACACACACACACATTAGTATTAAGAATTACTTACGTCCACAACCATTTTTACTTTCTCCAGATCTCCTTTCACACTATGTGGAATCCACTTATTATGAGAAGAATTTGTTAATGGTGTGCCTTTTGGACCTTGGAAATAACAGCCCTTAATGTCAATTAATCATGATATTATTGCATGTTTTAAGAGGTCTCTCATATGGAATCTATACTTTAATTATAGGAATTTACAAGAGAATCAATACCACCATTGTGACAGAGACCCATGCTATCAACTACTCTTCCCATCCTCCACTTGTATTTTTACATATGTACATATATCAGATATTTATTAATAAATTACTCCATGCCAGCAAAATTGTCATTTTCTTTGGTCATGATAACTGACATCCCATGTTTATCATCTATAACATTCTAGTAAATAAAACCATGATTGGTTCATGGGCCTACTACTTTCATTCATATATATATATATATATATTTTGAGAACAATTTTCTATTATAAGATAATAGGAAAACTAAAAATTTATGAATTATGATTGGTTAACAGAAATATGAAGGTTTTGAAAACAAAGTTTTAAAAAAAAGAATGGAAAATGAACCAATTTCAGAAAGGGAGGCGATATTCGTACTCCATTTTCTATACTTGCCTTACAATTTTAAATAAAATGACAATTATAACTCTAAATTTACAAGTAAATGATTATTACTTTTTAAATGACATAATAGCCCTTTCAAATTTTCTCTCTCCATATCTGTAATATTTAATATTGTAGGTATCTTTTGACAAAAAAAAAAAAAAAAAAAAAAAAAAAAAAAATAAAATTTAAATAATTTTTTTTTACACAACCAATATATATATATATATATATATATATATATATATATATATGTTGAATAAATTACCTCTTTTGACCGGACCAAAAAAAAGTTAACATTAAAATTTTTTATCTCTTTTGACTGGAACAAAAACCCCCAAAAAATTATATTTATTGAAGAAATTATCTCTTATGTCAAGATTTTTTTTAAAAAAAAAGTATGAAAAAAGATGATTCGAAAAAATTATCTCTTTTGATAAGATCCAAAAAATATGAGGATGAGCAAAGCAGATTCGAAAACAAAGTTTTAAAAAAGAAAAGAAAATGAACCAATTTCAGAAATGGTCTTTTTTCTTTGAAATTTATTTCTTGTTTCCAAAGTTTTTGAAATTGTTTTTTGAAAACTGAGACAAATATAGCTTCAATTTGAAATTGGAGAGTAAAAGTATCTAAATTTACTTTAATTCTAAATCCAATATTTATACTATTTTCAATTCCCGTCACAAAGTAAATTAATGTTACGTTAAGTGAATATTACTTACCGTTTGACATTATTTGAAAAAAATAACTTTCGTCGAACTTAAAGTTACTTTCCCATATATATATATATATATATACTTGGCAACGGTTAAAAAGATAAGAGGTTGATTCAAACTTAGGAGCATAAGATGGAGGCACCTAAGGCCCTTTAAACTTCTTTTGCATATGTGATAGTTGAATTATATTAATATTAATTCACATTTGGCATAAAAGTAGGGTGACATAGTTTGGCATAAAAGTAGGAGACACGTAGCACTTTATTTTTCTTCAATTGCACTTCACTTATCTTTTTCTTTTAAAAAAAATGACAAGAAAATCATTCAATTCATTAATACACTATGCTTTATTTTATAATATCATAACTACCTTTTATATAACTTTAAATATATATATATATATTTTTACCTTCTTTAGTTTCTTTACTATTTTATTTTATTTTATTATTATTTTTTTTTGGGTGTGCTATACTTTCTTTTCGGAGGTCCTTATTTCATACTGATATTTTTTTTTTTGACAGTCAAAAGAGAGATAATTTATTCGTGACTTTTTTTTTGGTCCAATCAAAACAAATAATTTATTCAACAAAGTTGACTTTTTGTTTCACTTCTGTCAAAAGTGGTAACTTTATTATTATTATTTTTTATGGTACCATCAAAAGAATAATTTATTCAATATATATATATATATATATATATATATATATATATATTTGGGTATTATCAAAGGAGATAATTTATTCGGGTATTATCAAAAGAGATAATTTATTCAATATATATATATATATATATATATATATATATATATATTTTTTTTTTTAATCCTCTTTTTTGTAGCTTTTTTTTTTTTTTTTTTTTATTGACAAAAGAGATAATTTCTTCCATAAATATTTTTTTTTTGGTTTTTTTTTCTTGTCAAAAGAGATAATTATTTTAATTGTTACTCTTTTTTAAAAATTTTTGGTCGGGTCAAAAGAGACAATTTAATCAATATAAATTTTTTTCTAAGAACAATTGAAAGGTTAGTTGCCATTTTATTTAAGATTATAGTGCAAACTTAAAAAATACAGTGTGAATAGCACCTCCCAAAAAGCAATGAATTTTTAATTGCTTAAAACATGTAGATATCCATTCATTCAAGGAAGGACATGAACCTGCAAGATTTAGTTTCATTAAAGGCAAGCTTATTTACCAGTAAAGCCCCTGTTATCAGCCCATTCCCAATGAATACATAGGGAAACTGAATTTTGAAATAGTGATAAAAAGGTAAATGGCTTTTGGTTCCCTTTTTATTTATTTATTTATTTATTTTATCATTAATTAATTTTCCTACATTATCTTCATTAAATTATATAGGCACGTATTGTTTACCTTATGGAAATACACTAGAATGTCTAGTGCATAACCAGACCACATGATTAGAATTCTATAATAAATTATTTAGTTATCTTATCTTAAAAACCCATATATATATATATATTATTATTATTATCATTATCATAATTTTGAATGCCTCTTGCAATAGTAGTGTAGAAGATTAATTAAAAGGCCTTTTGATGAAAAGCACTAAAGTCGCATCAATTTGGAGGGTCAGAGTCAACGTACAATTGAAGTCAAGTACTATCACAAAAGCTTGTCAATATAAAATGATAAAATAAACATGTGATTGAGATTAACCAAAACTCATATATGCATGTTTATATATATTCATGATATAAATGTGTGTTTGAGGTATTGCTAGCCCACTTATTTCGAGTGCCAGTAGAAGGATAAGAAATTTTGATTAAGCTTTTTTTGTATTGGAGAAAACGCACTAAGTATGTGATGTCACACAATGCAATTGTTGGTTCATTCAAATTTAATCATTGATGCCAGGTCAAATTCAGGATCAGGATTTTCATATGAAAAATGATGGAAATTTTGATTGAGTTTGTATATGTAGCAATGGTTGAGATTAACGTTTTCACTCTATTACTCAAAAAATTCTTGTTCAATACTATTTACTGAAGAAGTATTAAAAATTATTTGTTGTTTGCAGGATCTAGCTAAGATTTTAATTCAGGGATTCAGTGTTAAAAAAAAAAAATAATAATTTAAATAAGAACAAAAGAAAAAAAAAATTCATACTATATATACATTATCCTTTAGTGCAAAAAGAAGAATGTTAAGAAGTTGGGGAAAAAAAGAAGAAGAAAAGTGAGAAATGTGAAAAGGCAAAAAAATTAAAGTCTGAGTAAAGAAGAAAAATTTAACTTATTTTAAAGGAAATTAATGGAATATTAAAATTAAAAGAAAAAGGAAAGAAAAGTTTAAAAGATAATTTTAGAAACAAAAAATATTAGGAAGGCATTATATAGAAATTTTCTTATAAATGTATAAATTAAAATAAAAATTAGTATATTTTATAGTGGGCGAGCAAGGGGAATGTGTCCCTTGGGCACACATTGGTTTCACCTTTTGTTGTTTGTGTATACTTATTTCATATTAGGAAACGATCCTAAAATTTACCCAAAAGACATTACAGTTTTTTTCGAATATTCACCTCTCAAAGTGTATATCGATGCATCTTCGGTCCCGATTTTGACATGGGTCATGAAGAAAACTCATGGATATAACGACCTGACGAAGTCTTTACATTCATTTACTTCTTTCCTCCCAACTCTCACCCCACCCCCTCCTTTCCCTTTATGAAGACATCGACATATGCTGTCGTGATTCATGAACCCTTGCAGATGAGTGGATCAAAGTGATTGAACATTTAAATGACAATCATATTATTGGTTTGTGAGAATCTTAGAATATCACTGTCAAAGTTGCATTGAATACTTTATACTAATTGATTATTAGTTAGGGGATTGTGGAGAGATTGTATCCGATTATGACCACATCCTGAAATCTAACACATACATTAGGGGCCCTTCAGAATTTATGCTTTATTAGTAGGCATAATGGAGTTTGGTTCTGGGTATAATGAGATTTATTTTGTTCTAAACATAGCCCAATGAGATTTGTAATTCATATACTTACCTAACATTTAAAAATATTATTAATAATAATAATAAAATACAATTGCAATTCATGACTTTTTCATATGTTGACTAAGTCTTTCAGAATGTTGGAGATTATGGCAATCCGAACTAATTTCTCTCATGACTACTTACCCACGAGTCAACCACTTGAGACCATGATCATCAAGTTTGGTTTCATATCACTTTTTCATTTATTTATTTATTATTTCGAGTGCTAAGAGTTATTTTCTGGGGTCGCTAAATTGGTGTTAAGTTGCATCAGAAAACATTGTATGAGCTATTTCACCCTTGGAAGGTTGTCGGTGTAATCAATGCCACGTCACCACAAGTTAACACTTCGAACACCAAATCATTATGAAGTCAAAGCCAAGATAGCTTTAATCACGTCAACTAAAAGAAGCCAAGTCCCCTAAAAAGAGTTAACTCACCAAACTAAGTGAACTGTGAACCAAAAATGACGAGTCGAACGAAAGACCTAGTGCCTCGATTCGACCTCCACAACCTAGACATCGAGCTACTTAAAG